CACGGCGGCGGCTCCCTGCGTCATTGGGGTGCCACCCTGAATGAGGCCGGTGGACGCCATGGGCTCGCGATTTATTTGAGCGGCGTTGGCGAGCTGTCCGCTAAGTGACGGCAGTAGTAGGTTTTATGAGCTGCATGCCATGTGAAATGGCATGCAGCAGTCTGCCATCTGCCAAGTGAACCATCTGACATGGCAGCGAGATTGACGGCCAGACGTGAACATCCAGTCAAGCCTGGATCAGTATCGGCCTTGACTATCTCATGGCACCTTTAGACGTAATCGATCGTACTTAACTGTACTGGGTTTAAGACCCCGTCGAGTGCTGGTCACCTAATCACCGTGTGACTGGTCACTGTAGCTTGGCTTTAACTATGAACAGCGGGTACTGGTTCTGGTGGTACAGGTACTGGTGCAAATGCACCAGTGCCTGTACATCAGATACAGGCGCACTCGGCCAACCAGTACCTGTATGTACATGAGGTACCCGCGCTGGTGTTCTGATTCACCTGGTCTAAACGTGACTGAATGGGGGTCCTTTATTATGACACAGTAGGACAAAACGCCAAGCACAGGACTCCCGGCGTGCGAGGGGCAGTTAGAGGCTCTGGAGGACAGCGCACCCTGTCACTGCGGGAATGTTAAGTGTACATAATACGGCTTTAGTTGTGCACACGGGTCTTAATGTTTTTTTTCAGCCTGCACGACACTGGTTCACCGAATGCTTGCGTAACCGTTATTGCAATTCGGTTTACCGTTCAGCAAGACATATCACAAAAAGATCATCTTGCAGAGCAACCTTGATAAGACGCCCCTGGCACTCTCATAATCCTCGTTAAAGCTGCCAGCCATTCTTCCTGGTTCTGACGCTGGCCGTCGCTCTACTGCAGGAAGCAGTGCACCAACGTGATGGTGACGCGGAACATGTTGATGACCACCTTCGCCAAGACGGTGGTCTTCGGCCTGGCTGACTGCTTCGAGCCTGAGAACATCTTCTCAGCGTACAAAGTCGGTGAGTGGTCCAGCGGTGACGGCACCTTTGCAGAGCATGTTGGCACAGATGGATGTTGTGCGCCGATGGTGGCTCCAGGCGCTGGTGGGTTTTGGTGACAACATGACTGTCGTCTGTGGATGCCAGTCTCTTGCCTTGGTAGCTGTGGTCACCTCTGGTGGGCACTGCGCTGTGTTTGTTTGGTTGAAATCCACCAATCATCACCGTCGCCGCATGACTAAATTATCTGGCTATGTTTACGGTGACGGTGATGGGTTTCTTCCTAACGATGGCACAGCAGTGTATTCGCATGACTTTCCCCGTCTGCATCGTACGTGGGGAGGGGCAGACACTGCCTCGGAGGCGCCCCAGCGCAGCTGTGTCAACATACAGGCAGGGGAGGGGGACGAGGGGGTTGTCTGGAGGCGGCGATCCTGTGCTTCATTCAAGGTGGCCGCTTGCATTTCCTGTTCTCACGTGGTTCGGACGGGCTGCAAGGTCGGCAGAAAGGTCGGCCCGCCTGGCGGAGCAGCGATGCGAAGCTGCCGACGCTGGCCCGGGCCGTGCGGTTTGCGCCGATGGCTGACATTTGGTTGTCACATCGATGTCAGGCTGGCTGACACGGACCGTAATTTATTTGCCCCGCCATGACAGCCGTGGTTTGGCCTGCGGACGGCTGGATTGGACACCCATGTGTGATGTCGCAGCTGTATGACCAGTTGATGACGGCACGTGGAGAACAACACACGTCCGACCATAGGTCAGCCAGGGCGCGCTGCACGGCTGAGTGTGCGATGCCCGAAGGCGCCACGCTCGTCACCAAGCTCGTTGGTTGTTACGAGACCGGTGCTTTCGGGTGCCGCAGGATTTGAGAGCTGTCTCAACACGATACGGCAAAAGTACGCCGAGAAACACGGGCGTGAGGTGATCTGCGTGATCATCGGTAAGCCGGACAAGCCAGACAGCCCGAGCATCATCACCGCCGCCCGACAGGTCAGTGGCCGCGCGGCACCAGCCTGGCTGCCCGGCAGCGCTGGTTCTGTGGGGCCGTGGACAGGGCGCAGAAAGGAGAGAGGCTGCATGCAGCGGCTGCGGAGCTGGGCTTGACCTCATAACCCGTGGTCAGACAGGCCAGCGGATGGGACCGGCCGCTGCTGAAGTGCTCTCCAACCGCCCTTACTAATCACCCAGCGTCTTGCTAGTCTCGAAATGTGATAAAAAAGTCAACCGGGTATTCGAAAAGTCCTTTCGCGGCCAACCTACCCTATCCTCTCTGAAAGCTAGAAGATCATAAACTGACCAAAAGACGTGCAGGATGTTCATGATTTCTTCTCAGTTTCTTATCCCTAAGATGTGGAGACTTGTTGCCGTGATGCTTGTATATTGAAATGTGAATATTGTCAGCATATTACTATATTCGGCGTCACTCAAAGAACCATGACAGGCAGCATTCGGTTCCAGGCATTTGTTGCTATGGGTGCTTGTTGAGATATGCTTTCATCGTTGATTGATTATTGTCTGCATGAGGAAATGTCATTGATGCTGACATAGCGCACATTTGGGATGCACACGTTGCAGAGGGTCAAGCTGTTAGAGCGAGGCGGCTGTAGGATTTCAAAGCTGTCTGTTACTCTTATAAATAGTGAGTAATAGTTGTAAATATGCTGATGTGTCGGTTCCATTAGCGCTTGCAAACGGCTGCTCCATGCACTTTTAATTGCAGTTGCGGATTTGAACGCAAGCTGGGCCTCAAAATGTGACTTGTAATTTATCTCAGAGTGAAAGCATTCAGGGGTTACTGCTCTTAATTCTACTCAGCACACGTTTCTGAAGGCCAGGCAGTGATGATATTCGGAGCCGTAATCGCTGATAGAGATGCGCGTGAATGATTTTGTGAGCAAACGACTGAGTATAACAAAATGCGGGGGTTACTCAGTGACACCGAGCTTGGCATTATGTGTGATAAATGCGGTCCTTCAGCTACTATAGGCCATGAAATCATACGTATGGTCGCCGGACGATGAAATAATGCACTGATGATGGGGTAAGGCAATTTAGAGCCGATTTACCAACTACTACGTTTCCTCCAGCTGTGACCGTTTGGTATGTTCCCTTTGCAGAGGATGTACTTGGCGCATGCCACTGGTATCCCAGCGATTGGGTACTAACCCAGTGGGAGACAAAACATGTTTGAGTGCGAGACATGATCATCACAAAAGTGCGAAACATGCAGTACATCGGGAAATGTATGGCTTTATGATTTTGAAGCGCACGGCAAGTTTTTGTCCTGAGCGGGTAACTAATTTTCGAAACATCCATATTTTGAGGTTGAGCGCGTGCGGCGCCTCGCGCTCCTCGATCGCTCACTGCTCCGACCTTGGCTGGAGTGGCGGGTGTTTTGTCTCACGGACGGAGCCGGCGGCGGTCGTGCTCGAGTTGGTCGTTTCTTCAGCGGTGACCGACGACCGATCAACGGCGGAACCTTTCACTGGCGCGCTGACAGCCGATAGTGCGATGCGGCGAGACGGGCCGGTGCCGTGACGGAGGCGGCAAACAATGGCTGACGGGGGCGGCCACAACACGACGCGGGGCGAGCGTGGGGCGTCGTGGCGCTCGCGTCAAGATGCTGTCAGCGCGTCACCTTGACCACGGCAGTGCGTCGCCGTCGGCAGCGGGATGAGGGTACTGTCTCAGTGCTTCACTGCGGATGTTGGAAATGACGCCAGTACGTCACAAAGATGGAAGGCGTAGTAATAAAGTGTTGCACTGATGAAGAGGAAATAGCGGTGCCATACACTGAATGAAAAGGCCGGAGTGGTGCCGAAGCGGCGAGTGACAAGCGAGTGGCGCTGACTGAAAGGGACCGTTCCGGTGGGCCTCATCAACCGTGGAGCGACCACACAAACGCGCCAGCACTGTACACTGGCAAGAAGTGAATGTGCCAGTGCGACTCACTGACTGGAAGTGAGAGGGTGAGAGCGGCTGCTCATCACACTTTTGGAGGCGTAGGGGTATATCCAGTAATTTTGGTCGGGGGGGGGGGTATTTAAGTCAAAAATTGGCACTATAGAAAAACTCCCAAGCTACGCGCACTTGACAAGCGACCGCCCTCTGAAGACCAACAGCGCGACGAGTGCCCTCTGAAGACCAACAGCGCGACGAGCGCCCTCTGAAGACCAACAGCGCGACGAGTGCCCTCTGAAGACCAACAGCGCGACGAGTGCCCTCTGAAGACCAACAGCGCGACGAGTGCCCTCTGAAGACCAACAGCGCGACGAGTGCCCTCTGAAGACCAACTGAGCGAAGTGCCCTCTGAAGACCAACAGCGCGACGAGTGCCCTCTGAAGACCAACAGCGCACGAGCCCTCTGAAGACCAACAGCGCGACGAGTGCCCTCTGAAGACCAACAGCGGACGAGTGCCCTCTGAAGACCAACAGCGCGACGAGTGCCCTCTGAAGACCAACAGCGCGAAGTGCCCTCTGAAGACCAACAGCGCGACGAGTGCCCTCTGAAGACCAACAGCGCGAAAGTGCCCTCTGAAGACCAACAGCGCGACGAGTGCCCTCTGAAGACCAACAGCGCGACGAGTGCCCTCTGAAGACCAACAGCGCGACGAGTGCCCTCTGAAGACCAACAGCGCGAAGAGTGCCCTCTGAAGACCAACAGCGCGAAGAGTGCCCTCTGAAGACCAACAGCGCGAAGAGTGCCCTCTGAAGACCAACAGCGCGACGAGTGCCCTCTGAAGACCACAGCGCGACGAGTGCCCTCTGAAGACCAACAGCGCGAGTGCCCTCTGAAGACCAACAGCGCGAAGAGTGCCCTCTGAAGACCAACAGCGCGACGAGCGCCCTCTGAAGACCAACAGCGCGACGAGTGCCCTCTGAAGACCAACACGCGACGAGTGCCCTCTGAAGACCAACAGCGCGACGAGTGCCCTCTGAAGACCAACAGCGCGAAGAGTGCCCTCTGAAGACCACAGCGCGACGAGTGCCCTCTGAAGACCAACAGCGCGAAGGGTGCCCTCTGAAGACCAACAGCGCGAAGAGTGCCCTCTGAAGACCAACAGCGCAACGAGTGCCTTCTGAAGACCAACAGCGGGACGAGTGCCCGGACGAGATGTAAATGTTGAGCAGCAGGAGTTTCAGGCGCTTACCTGGTTGCTGTATCAAAAGTCTTGGCAGCTCCTTCTTTTCGTTCCAACTTAACAGCCAGATGTGAAGCTTGGACCGTACGACCGGCACGGGGTCCCGTAACCGTGCGCATCGCTCCCCGGTCGGTTCCAGTGCCGACCAGCTCTTCACGCTCTCCGGAAGAACTCTCAGAGCCTGAGGGACTACTGCTGCGGCTTCCCAAAGCGGTCGTGGAGCTGGCTGAGATGCTGGCTAGCGGGGAAAGAAGCAATTTCCTGAAGTACTGGGGCAGCATCGAAGTAATTGCCTCGGCCGACTCGTGGTACACTGATCTTGCCACGCTGCGGGGAGTAGCGGCACCGATTCGAAGGACCCGACCCGAAGGACGAAGGACCAGCTGTCTCCGCGCCTTGTCCATCACGGACCCAAACATCTCCTCTGGCCTCGGGGCTCGGGATGTCCCTTTGTACTTCCGGCGTCCATCCGTAACATATTTTCAACGGCCCAGCGCCCTTTCAGTCGTCGGGGGTGCCCGTTCCCCCCTTCCTAAGGTTTGGGGCATCTTTAGTGTTCATGTCAATAAAATATCGTGGCCCCGTTCGGGTTCGTGCCGATAGCCCCTCTATAGGCGCCGTTGTTGGGGTGGCGAAGGAGCCAGGGGCCTCTAAGGTCGCTAATGTTTCCAGATCGGGGGGGGGGGGGTGCGCGCGCCTCCAGTGGGGATGTGCATTCGGTGTCCTCTCCCCCTACCACCCCAGTAGGCGACCGTGTACGGGGCATCGGATCAGACGTCACCGGTGCGCCGATGCGCCTCACCGACCGAGATGTGGCCGTGCCATTGCATCACACGTACTGAAGCTGGCCTTACCCGTGCGTCACGCTGACTCCAGAATGGCATGCTGAAGGAGCACGCGACCAAAACCGCAGCGTTTCTGTGCTCCCAGCAGCCGCAGCGCCGTGTTCGTGACCCCCGCGCGCGCGCGGGGGGCGGGAGAGGCCGGCTCACCGCGGCCGCCCCTGCTCCTGCGCCGCGCCTCGTCCCGGCCGCGCCCCGAGCAGCCACGCCGCGCAGCGGTGCGACATCGCTGGCCGGATTGGCCGGCCCGCGGGCCTGCCGTGCCATACCAAGCAGGCGGCTGGCGGACTGGCGGCGGGCGGGCATCCCAGCCGCTGCAGCCTCGCCCTCACGCGCGGATCCGCCGCGGCCAGCGCCGGGCCGACTCCCACGTGTCTGCCGGCTGCGTGCGGGCATGTCGGGTGCGGGACGACAATTACAGCATGCGAGGAAGATGGGCCGGCTGGTGGCGGCGCCCTCTCCCCCCCCCCCCCCCCCGCGTCGGTTGGCGGGCCCAGTCGGCTGTGCGCCGCCCAGTTGACGTGATCGAACGACGCCAATGTTCTTGTGCTCGGTTTGCGGCGCCGCTCAAAGAATGCGGCGGTGGCCTGGCCCTGACTGGCGACCCTTGCCCCCCCCCCGCGCGGGACCCCCGTGGCGGCCGCAGCGGCCCGGGTCGGCGGGGGCGCCGCCGGCCCAACGCCGCGCCGACCGCCGTCGACTCCGACACAGCGCCGGACGGCTGTGCGGCGTCGGTCGCGTGTATCGAGGCCGCAACCCGAGGCTGCCAGTCTTCTGGCGCTCCCCCCTCCCTCCCACCGTCCGATGCGTAATTTAACTGCAAATTCGCAGGTATTGTTATTGTGGGTGCCTTAATGGCGGCACCGAAGGCCGCGACGACCGTGAACCCGCGCCAGCCGGGCCGGCGCGCCGTGTGTGACCGTGGCTCGCGCCGCTGGCCGGCGATGGTGCGGAGTACGTAACGGCGCCCGGCCGCGCCCGGCAGCACCTCGTCTCCACCACCCAGTCTGTTCCGGCTTGCTCACTGGTGCCGAACGTCGCCGGCTCTGTGGGCGACGGCCAGTTGGCGTGCCTTACGAGCCGCTGCCGTGCAGTTTTAACTCCCGGACATTGTGTGGCAACCTCAGGGCTGCTGTCAACTCACGTCCAATGCGTATGGTTCCCAATGATATGTTTATTTCGCTCCCTTAGCAACGGTAGGAGGCGTCGGCTAGACCGTTGGGTACGATCTCAATTATCAACGAGTTTTACGATGGGGGAGCGGTCATCATGACAACGGGGCTGAAATGCTATCCGAAGGCCGAGGTGTTAGACAGGTCATCTCAACAATCCCTGCAGAGAAACCGAAGCGCAGTCTACCCGTATCTTGGCTTCTCATGCCCGTCCTGAATCAATCTTACCCATCATGTAATAATGACCGGTTTGCCAAAAACCATCAAAAGATGGATGGCCAGCTCTCACCACGCGTGACGTTGGCGTCGTTGCGAAACGATGCCCACACATCTTGTTCGGGACACCGCCCAAAAGGCAGAGCGCGATCGGCACACATTAACATGGGGGCCTTGCGTGGCTCAGTGACAACGCTTTCCGGTCTGTGAAACCAAACCCAGCCCAGCCCCCACTCGCATTGGGCGAGGTGTCGACTTCCCGGTGAACAATGTCGCCACCTGCGACACCATCGCCGGCGTGGTATGGGGCTTCAGGGTCCCGCTCGGGGCGGTGTGATCGGTGGTCGCGCAGCGGGCTATTTGCGCATATCGCTGGGTCTCGCCTCTCTCTCTCTCTCTCTCTCTCTCTCTCTTCTCTCTCTCATATCCTAATCCCGCATGCCCTCTCCCCCCTCCCCCCCGGGCTCCCCGCCCCTGTCTCTTCACCTTCCTCGTGCTTTACCATTACTTTACATGGATTGCACTAGAAACATGAACTCCGCAGGTTCAAGGATTCAAGGCGGAACAACCTCACTTTGCATAATTTGGCATAACAGTTTAGACGGTAAAAAAAATGTAGCACTTCTAAAGAAAAACTGCTATCTAGCTTTCGGCTTCGAAACCTAGCTTCGAGTGGAGACAACGAACATAACCCCACCTAACCCCGACCAATAAAAATAAAACCCCGATAAACCCCGTCCTGATGCGAGGAGGGAGGGTCGATGTGATCCCCTTAAGCTTTTTCAACAGGATGCTTTCCGCACATTTTGAAATAGCACCCAAATTTCAATTATCCTCTGGGGTGTTCACATGCGGGTGGTTGACCAACAAACTGGTAACCTAAGTTTTTTTGGTTTCGGAGCGGCGGCGGGTTTTGAGGAACAGCGCGGCTGGGCGGTGCGCAGCTTCGTGGCGGCCGCTGAGTGATAACCGACGCGGCGGGCCGATTTTGTCCATTCACGGAGCCATCTCATAGATATATGCTCAGAGACACAAAGAAAGCAAAAACACAGAGCGCTGCCAAGTCTTTTATGTGTGATTGCGTTGGCTCATACCTTAAAGGCATGGATGCGATTGAGTGTTTTTTATCCCATATCTCTTTCCGTTGTTTTTGGATACCGTTTCATCCCTGAGACTGATGACACGTAACAGCCACGTGTGCATGTGCAGCGTCAGCTGATGTCAAATATAAATAGAAATGAAAATATTCACCATCGCACCACAAACTGAACAAGAAACCCACCTGTTCAGGTTTCGTGTCGCCGCGAGGCATGACCTCGTATTCACGATGAAGCTGGAAAGGTGCGATTTTCTGGACAATATGCCCTTTAACTGGCATTATGGAGCCAATTATTTGCCAAACGGTATAACAGCTAGTGCCAGTCACAAGATCCCATTGCTAGAAATCCATTGTAGTTTTATTCTAAGCTCTTTCGTTATTACTCTGTAAACCCCAGGGCGTTTCGAACCCTCCCTTTCAGTCCCTGTTATGGGAAACGGCGGATCAGAGCGAGAGTTGGGACTCTTGGTGGAACTTCGAATGTTGTGACAACGTGCGTTGACCAATTTATAACATTTTCAACAGGTTAGAATCGTTGTACGGCCTATTGTTATTCGTCCCTTGGGGAGCCCCGCTGCGGTCCCCATGCTCAGTCCCGAATGCACACGGTTGGATGTTTGATCTTTATTGTCTGGGAATGCGCCCGTCAGCGACCAGGTCCGGTTGCCGTATGCTAATGGCCGCTCATTTAGATTCGCATCACAGATGAGATCGCCGCAGTCACATCTGCACATCCGGAGCAGCGTCCCTGCTGCGGCCGTCGTAGGACGCGCGTACCGCCGGCGACCAGTGCAACCTGTCCCGACTCCCCCGACCACGGCCGATATTTCATCTGGGAACCGGCGCAGGGGAGAGGTGGGGGCGTCGCCCGAAGCTGGGAGCGCCACACGCGATAGCACCTCGTGGTCCGCCAGCGATCGGTTAGCCGAAGTGTCGTGCATAGCTCACGTCGCCGTTCGATTGCCCCGGTGAATTACTCAGGTGATCGGGCGGAGCCGGCGGTTCGCGTACGGGCGGCGAAGGCCTTCTGGAGAAACCGGTGCTCTCAGCCTTGGATCGATTCGCCGAGGGGTTCCAGCGCTGTGGCTGGAGCGGGTTGGCCTCAGTCCGATCGGTGCGAAACGGCGCCGACCGTGAGTTATGCAAGCCGCTAGGCAAGTGTGAAAAGGCCGCACCCCGGCCGGCCAGCCGCTTGCCTATCTGCGGCTAATCGGAGGCAGGTGTCGCTCGGGGCCGCGCAAGCCTCGCGGCGTCGGCGGCGATGACTTGCCAGACTTGCCAGACTGCGGCGGCGGTTTGGCTGCCACGCCAAGACTAGTGGTCAGTGGTCTGTCAGTGGTCTGTCAGTGGTCTGTCAGTGGTCTGTCAGTGGTTCTGTCAGTGGTCTGTCAGTGGTCTGTCCTGGTGCGGAACAGATAAACAGTCCGCCGAATGTACTTAGATACCGGAGGAGAGGTAGGGGTGGGGTGGGATGGGGCATGGGCTTGGGATCGTAGGCAACGAGGGGATGGGCTTGGGTTCAAGTTCGGCAGCACAGTTCCGCATTTAGTTCCGGTCGCCAGAAGCGATATTATTTCAGATTTGTTCATAACTGTTGCAAGATAGGGAGCGACCACTCCACCGTGGCGCCTCGTCGCGGCTCGCGGCGGCTGCCGGTCACGATGCCCGATTCTGGAGGGGGAGGGGGAGGGCACGCCAGCACACATAACCGGCACTAAGCCGTGCCGGGTGACCAGGGCCGCACCCCCTCCTCGTACCCGACAAGCCGGCTCGTAAAGCTGTGTTTATAGTGGAAGACCAGTCTCGGCGAGCGACGGCCCTTTTGTCGGCGGGCGTTGTGAGACGCCCTGGCGGTACGCTCCAGCGTCCAGGTGGCGCTCGGAGCGAGGCGCCGTCCCCCGTGGCGGCCGCACCCCTCCCCTCTCAGAGGAACCGGCGGCACCCCGCAAGCCGCCGGCGAGTCGGGCGGCGCGTCTCATCTCACTATCGCATTCGGTTAGCTTCGCTGGCTCCTGACGCCGGCGCTTGGAAGGAATCCCACGCCGTGATCCGCTGAAATGGAGTGATTACGGGCCAAGCTCGCCGCCTGGGGTGCTGCTGTGATGGCTTGCTCGGAACCAGATCTTACGGTGGTGGTGCACACCTGTGATGACATGACAAGGGCACAACTCACTGTGTTGACTGCCAGCTGTATGGGTCATAGGATGTTTAAGGCTAGGTATGGTTTGCCTGACGTGCCTTTGCATAAGAATTGTTACATGCCTCCGCCTTCTTTAATGCCCTGCCCTAATTTCATGACGAGTTTAAGGCGTCGCTTCGGGAGTCAATCAGCTGAGGTCTCTTTTATGGCTCAATACAGTTACAATATCGACGCATATTAGCGACCCAGCTCTCGCTTGGATGTGTTCGTATGTGCAGATTCTTGGGAAGCCGGTATCATGTGAGGGTGTGTCTCATTAGGTCGTATGTGGAGGTTCTTGGGAGGCCGGTGTCATGCGGGGATGTGTTTCGTTAGATCGTATGTGGAGGTTTTAGGAAGGCAACATCATGTGAGGGTGTGTTTCACCAGCTAACACCCAGGTTGAATGATTGCAATTGCACAGAATATCACAAGACATTCCTGTCAACACGTGTCAGTTATGTTATTTCCCACATGTTATCCAGGTGCTATGGGTGCGTTCAGTGGGCCGCGCCCCGTGCATTCCCCCTTATACAGGTGCGACATATTACCACGGCCATGTTTTTTTGCGACACGGGGTTATTTTTTACCAGTTTTATACATAATTTGTGTTTCGTCCTAAGAGGGAAAATATTCCATTAGAATTTGAACCTTCACCTTCCTTAGAAGTTCTTCCCTGCTTTCTCCAAAGCGGTCAAGGCCTTTTGTTTCAACATGGCAACTACGCACGAAGACGCCTTTTCATTCTCTTTACTTGGCGGTCAAACTGACTGTAATTTTCACTTTCCAGCTCTATACTGCACCTATTCCAATCCTTCAGCCGACACGCCTCAGTTTCCAAGGCACTGAACGTGTGAGTGAACTCCGAACAGGGACATCATCTGTTTATCTTTTTCAGTTTGGCATGCCGTACTTCCCCATCAATTCGGACAAAGATCTCCTCGCACTGAAGTTCTTCCTTCAGTGCGGCTACATGTAGGCTGCTGTGGAACCGACGGGTGAACATTGAGGTAAGCCCTGTTGCGGATCATCACGCGACACGGAGCAGCACGTTAATGTCACGCGTATCTGGTGCACATCTTTAGCGATCCGGGTCGTTACTTGTAGAACATGAAGGCAAAGACGATTGCAAGGCACCAGTGGACATCGCTGCTCATTAGAAACATTGCAGAATTGTAGCGCTGATTTTTCGACATAAATGTAGGGCACATGCGGACACTGCCAGATGTTTTTCGCTCTCTTCTCAATATGAATGTCTCAAGTTATTTCCTTACTGTACCCCCACTGCTAGCTCAGCTTATTTCCTTACTGTACCCCCACTGCTAGCTGAGCTTATTTCTCTACTATACCACCGCTGCTAGCTCAGCTTAGTTCCTTCCTGTACCCCGGCTGCTAGCTCAGCTTATTAGTGTGATGTGCGCCCTGACAATGCACCTGCTTTAGATGTCCCCTTTTTGACCTCTCATTCACTTTTTTCCTGTTCACTTACTCTGGTACGCGAGCAATGCGCCTGCGGCAATGTCTACTCCCGATGCTCTAGGTCGTTCCGATCTTTGATGCGAACATGTCTCGAACCAGTGCGTAACAGAACTCCTGCGTTTGCCCCATGAATTTAGCTGCTTCAATGCCAATTCCAATCAAACCCGGTTCCTATGTTTTGCCTTCTATCATTGTGCACCATCATAAAGCGAGCCATGATCATGACGGCACATGCGCCATGTTTGGACAGTCCTGTTCTGTCGCTGTGTGTCCGCGCTGTGTCGCGTTGGTTTGCAGTGGGCAGCGTCAGCGACTGACGTGTTTCGTGACGTCTGCAGGCGCCTTGCTGGCTGGATCTGCGCTCCGCCGGCGCCCCGGCCGCCTGTGACTCGCGTGGACCCGTGGCCCGTGTAGTCCGGTGTTGAAGCGCAGTGGACTCGGTGGCCTCTGTCCACAAAACTGGCGCTGGCTCCTGGAGGCCGCCGGGGCCCGCTGTCGGCCTTCGACTGCGCATGCGCTCGGCTGGGGAGGCCCCATCCGGAGCCCGCCCGCCGCAGGACCACGGACTGTGGCGTGTCCGTCGTCCCCGTCCCCGGCTGGTCCCGTTGCGGAGGACCGCCCGTGGGCAGCTGGTCCGTGTGGTCCGGCGGAGGTGGTCCCCGCATGGAGGGCCGGAGCGGGGTGCCGGGCGCCGCCTGGAGAGCTGGAGGGGTGTGTCGGGCGCCGCCTGGAGAACCGGAGCGGGGTGTCGAGCACCGCATGGAGAGCCGGAGCGGGGTGTCGGACGCCGCCTGGAGAGCTGGAACGGGGTATCAGGCGCCGCCTGAAGAGCCGGAACGGGGTGTCGGGCGCCGCCTGGAGAGCTGGAGCGGGGTGTTGGGCGCCGTCTGGAAGGCTGGAGCGCGGTGTCAGGCGCCGCCTGGAGAGCCGGAACGGGGTGTCGGGCGCCGCCTGGAGAGCCGGAACGGGGTGTCGGGCGCCGCCTGGAGAGCTGGAGCGGGATGTCAGGCGCCGCCAGGAGAGCCGGAGCGGGATGTCGGGCGCCGCCCGGAGAGCCGGAGCGGGATGTCGGGCGCCGCCTGGAGAGCCGGAACGGGGTGTCGGGCGCCGCCTGGAGAGCCGGAGCGGGATGTCGGGCGCCGCCTGGAGAGCTGGAGCGGGATGTCGGGCGCCGCCCGGAGAGCCGGAGCGGGATGTCGGGCGCCACGGCCACACCACACGTCCTCTGTACATAGGTAGTCGTGCTGTTGATCGGCGTATGTGACTGTGCGCGTGCGACCGAGGCGACCGCGTGCGACCGAGGCCGTGTCTTTTACGGAGGCTGTTTGGCCGAACAAACTGCGCTGATGTCTGGGCGGCCCTTCGGTCCGGGAAAACCCTGGGGGTTGGCGACCAGAGCCGGCCAACGCCAGGCCACTGCTGTGTAACTAAGTTATTGGAGGACGTCTTGGTTATTGTGATACTGTGTAGCCGGTCGCGTTTGCCACGAGAGCTATATTGGAGTTGTCTGTCACTCTCAGTTTCTTCGGCGCTGTCCACTACGCTAGCTGTTTTTAGCTCTAAGTCGTCGACACTCCTTGGAACAGGAGAGCCCCCATGAGTTGTTTGCGACCGTTGTTTGGCTTACACGCTTCATTACGTAGGGTCATGCCTGTACCCGTGCCTGTAAAACTTGTGTGAACCAGCAGTTCGAGCCTTGTAAGTCTTTTTGGCTAGCATGACGTGAAATCGCTTAATTCCAACGTCTCCATGTCATGCCTAGTCTGGTGGGGCTCGGATTAAGACATCGTGATTACCGGCGACGAATGGCGATAATCGAGCCCAGCTGCACAGAGCGAGACGGCGGCGGAGTCACCGCGTCTCAAATGACGTTGCGATGGTCAAAGCACACACACCCTGTCCTCTCATGCTGCTTTGTTATATTTTTACCATTGCTTGTGTTTGGCAGATCAGGGTTTTAACAAAGTAACTTTTATCTTTTATAAGCTTGAAATGGCTGTTTGATCTTGAAATGTTATGGTCCCATACTGTAACATATCCCACTGTGTGTATATGCCAACATGAACGTGCAGAGCTGAGCGTGTTTGCGCACCGCTGGAGGATAATGGAGATGACCAGGAAGTGTTAAATTAATTGGTCTGGCTTGGTTTGAGCTATTTCCGTTAGCAAAAGCCGTTGGAGGGCTGTGGGATTGGGGAGATAAGGATGCGTTGTGGGGCAGTGCTGCGGGTATCGCAAGCCGTCGTCACTACAGAGTCCACCCTGCGCGGGGAGCCGTCTTCAGTGCGTGGGCAGGTGCCCGGGCGAGACACCCTGAGCGTGGACCCGTGTTCATTGTGTGAGCGGGTGTCCGAGTTGGCCACCCGGAGAGGCGGTTCTTACACCGGCTCATGGGTGGCATCTCCACGGCAGCTTTCCTATCTGGTAGGAGGCTGCGAGGATTTAAGATAACATGGTGGGTCGGGAAAACAGGGTGAATGTAATGTGTTTTTAGCTTCAGTTGAGCTGACATGCTGACTGCCCGGACGTGCCATTGCCGACTGTGATAAAGTGGCTGCCCCGGAGACATCTCTACTCAAATGGACAATTTTCGTCTGTAACCAAAAGCCGCTCTCGCAAAAGTGCGACGCACCAGCTGATGTCCTTGCATAGCCCATCAGCATGCTAGAGTCCTCCAGGAGCCACGTTCGGGCAGCTTTGTCTCGCCGCCGCACAAGCTCACAACAAACCATCGCGGGTCGGCGGAGAGGGCGGGCAGCCGCTCGGCCGCGGGAAAACCCACAGCGTGAGCCGCTGCTCGGGTCGTGGAGTGTGGCCCGGCCGCACTGCCGGATCAGCGGAGGCGCCCCGGCCGCCGCCGCCGCCGTGCTTGCTCACGCGGCTCTCATGGCCTTCGCGGCTGTCGCGATCCGGCGGTGGCGCGGAGGATTTACTGGCGTCGTCACGGCCGGCTGGCGGTGACCTCTGCGTGGTGGGCCAGCCGGCTGGCGGTGACCTCTGCGTGGCGGGCCAGCCGGCTGGCGGTGACCTCTGCGTGGCGGCACGGCCGGCTGGCGGTGACCTCTGCGTGCTGGGACGACCGGCTGGCGGTGATCTCCGCGTGCTGGGACAACCGGCTGTGCCTGAGCTGCCAGGGCGGGGCGCCAGCTCCGTGCCGGCCATGGCGTGCCGCCGACGAGGTGGGGCTGGAGGGGCTGCGCGAAACCGCTCGCCGCATGTCACTGATCACACCTAATCACGTGCTTCATGAAACACCCGAGAAACAAAAGGACTGGCGGCAGGCCCGGAGTGACGCCATCCGCACGTCACGACCTCGGATGGATGCCTCCGCTGCTGTCTGGCGGCGGCAGCAAAGGCCGGCTTTCATCAGATAAACTCACGAATTGGACGATTTTGGTCTGTATTCCGCGGACTTCGGTGTGTGCTAAATCCTCTTAATGGGACGCATCGACCGCTCCTGTGCAAGATAGCGAACGCGATCGTCGACACACACACGCCTGCAAGAACCAGACTGCAGGGCATGGCACGCTTTCGATGCCTTTGTAATACGCTGTCCGGTTCCCCTTGGACCGAAGCCAGTTTCACCGCGCAGGTACGTAATGCGAGTCATGCTGTGAGGAAAATGCCGCACTTTTGACAGGCAGCTAAGACGCTGCAATTTGTACAGAAAACTGCAGGCAAGCGTTGTCATTCTTCGTGCAACATTGTAAACAAAGATCAGCGTGTCCATTTAGAGATAAAACAGTTGTTGAATGATGCCAATCAATGAACTTTGCACGTTATGGCCTACAGGGGAGATGTAAAGTATGCCATCGTGTTATATCAGTCTTGGTGGCAGATAACGCGCGATTAATACAGTTCGATTAGGTGCAAACACTAGATTTGACACTCTCGCATCGACTCTTGCATCTTACGAGTATCGAATTTGGCGATGAGTTCGGTATGAAATCGTGCTTACTCCCTTGCCTGTCCGTCAGGTCTACACATCGCTTCACTAACGCCTCTGTGGACCTCCCTGCGTCTGGCCCATCCCCTCATCCATCGACTCCTGACGACCTTCCGCCCTATTCCCTCACACCTTCGCCATGCGCCTGCGCACGCCCTCCTGATTCCTCTGCCGATCAGCTCCGCAAGTCTGACTTGACCTCCGACCCGAGCCCTCGGGCGTGCTGCGGTCAGAGGTCATGCCCGCCGGCAGCGTCGCGCCCGGCGCATTGACCCTTGTCCGCGGTATGCGGCGGCGCGGCACCTCGCCCCAATCGTATTCGTCTGCCGCCGCGCCGCCACGACCGGTTCGCGGGACGTTCCCAGAACGGGCACGGTTTGCGGCGCGTTCCCAGAGCGGGCGCACCCTTGTATGGCGTCAGGATGCCTCAATACACTGCATTGCCCACGGGGCGGCGCGAGTCTGACTCACAACATGACTACACATGGGGTGTGGCCTGTGCCACTGCCGGGCTTAGAACGTGCACGCGTCGTGGAAACCCGGAATGAGCAGAAAAAAGGTAAATAGTTTTATCTCGGAGCTATGCGAGTGTCCATGAGTTATAGTACAGGCCATTTCGAGCCGGCGCGTTGTGCTGATCCTGAGGACCGTGACCCCGTTACCTAAGCGGTAGGAACTCCTTTGGCTTGGCTTTGGAACTTTCTATGACCATCTACTTTGGAAGTATTTATTCGTTTTGTTTTGTGCTTCCGCTACTTCCTCATACCGGCGCGGTTGTAGTGAGGTTAGATGCCGGCATCTTCTCTCAATAAATGGCCTGGAGTTCGGGAGGGGGGGGGGGGGGTTGTCGAAAGTGGGGACGATTCAAGCCCCCAGCGAACCAGTGGGTTTTAATTCCACCCGAACCATTGTTTTCTTCTTACGAGGATTATAAAACCTTGTTGACGGGTTGCCATTTAGTGGTGATTGCATGACACGGTCCAATTCCCAGTACAACTTGGCTAGCAGGTCGGGCCAAAGCCATCTGGCAGCTCGCCGACGTGACTGCCACAGGAGCGCCGGGATGGATGGCCGCGCAGCAACCCATGCCTGGCGAAGAATCCGATCCCAACGTCTCCAGTGTCTTGACATGGGGTATAGTTGCAATCTGCTGTGAATTGCAGTTAGGGTCACGCACACCGCTGGTTATGATCTGTTATCTTTGTTTTTTGTCGTCCGTTCTACCTTTGCTTCAGTATCGGCGTGAAGTTTTCTCTACAACATGCGCTGTACCGGCCGCCAGTTCATGCATGGCGCACTTCGCTGCAATCTATTACTCATACATGACGTGCGTCAAAGAGTGGTGAACGCCTCGTACACGTTAAAGGCGTGGGTTTAGTACCGTTGAACCCACGTCCTTTAAAGGAAGACTCTCAACGGAAGGCCGCTGGCAAAGCCATGCGCCTGTTATCGCCGTTTTTGTCCGTGGTAGCTGCGTTTCGACGTGCTGGTACTCCCTGGGGTAGTTACTAACTAATCGTGTGCTTTAAATGGTAGATAGCCATGTATTCGACACATGAGGGATTAGTGTCGTTAATTCTACACTATATGGCAAAACAGCACGAGTACTACTGCGCATAATTTGCTATGTGCAATTGCGGGCAACATTGTGCATAGAGATAAGACTGTGCTGTTAGCATTATTCCTCCTAGAATAGTCAAGGGAAAGGGTACATTCTCTCTTTATATGCTAAAAGCCTTATAAAAATGACAATGAGGAATAATTCGAAAAAATTATAGTTGCTTACCGATCCCCTCGATTTGTAGTCTTTTTTATTAAACAGTGACGCACAGCTTTTACAAGTCATCAAAATTCAAGG